AACCACCTGCTTATTTATAGAAAATGAGTATTGTAGATTTTATTATTTTTATTTATTTATTTATTATTTTTTTTTAAAGCTGTAACTTTTTGGTGAAACCAGTATATGATATTATAATAACTTAGATAACCAACACGGCACATTGGTTATTGTAGATCTTTAGAGCTAGACAAACAGTGTGTTTGTGCTAGATTTGTCTTTAAACTCAAGTTTCTATTTGATTGCTATTATGCTACTGCTACAAGTTGACCTGCTTTTAGTAATCTATCAAAAGTGATGTGAAATTCTCATTCCAAAGTATATGCACTAATATAGTGTATATCTGGTTGATCAGTCTGTGATAAATGTATATTTAGCTGCTAGTATTAGTGATCAAGGATTGCTTTGAGTGCATGTGTACCTAGCAATCCACTTGGTTGTTTAAGTAACTCCAATATGGACTTGGAATTCACCTTTTTGAGCCTGAGAGTGAAGATTTAGTTCTTTTCAAGGCTTGAAACTTTTTTTTTTTTTTTAAATACTGATTTCTTGAAGGGTCAATGATCCATGTTTAAGGAAATACATTTATTTAAAAAAAAAAATCCTTTTAGTTTATCAGCTGATATCAACTGAAAACTAGTGCCTTTTCCATCCATTTCTAACTGCCAGATACTGATTTTAAAAAGTGTGTGTTAGTTGAGACCAGAGAACTATTTCTTGTTGGGGAGGCTGGGCTTGGCTGTTGGTTAAGTTGAAAGTTTGGTTACCAAGTAGTAGGCATCAAATAGCTCCCCACTCCATTTTTTTTCTGTGGGCTGGGATTTAGAATAATAACCTTTTGCTCTCTGTTAAAAATGTCATCTCCTATATGCCACATGACACTCAGTTCTGTGTGTGTGTTAGCTGTGTCCCTTTGTGAGAATTAAAAGGAGGAGAGAGAGAGAGAGAGAATTAGTTGACAAGTGGTGTTGGATGATGCTGATGTTAGTGGTGGTAGTGATGGTATTTCTATTCATTTACTGTTAAATGATCACAACCAAGTAAATAGTTTGTCAAACTCGTGTATACACTTTTCTGCTATTAGGCACCAAAGATTTTATAAGCGTGCAAGTATACTAGATTGCTGTGGTTATAGAGCTATAACTTGATAGGCTTGATACATGCCTCTGAGGTTTAAATATGAATCAACAAAAATTGTTTGGTTTCCATATTTGTTAGAAAGATTAACTAAAAAAATAAAAATGAACTCAAAACTATGCAAAAACCAAATCATTTTTTTTGTTTTTCTTAACTCTGTGTATCATATTGCAAATACATTTTAAATTTGTGATTGCAAAATAATAAAATAGGGAAATGTACTATTTGTAACACATTCTCAGTAGTGATATTTTTTATGTGGCAGCTTTCCACTTTCATAGATGATTCCTGATCAGTTTTTTCTAAGAATAAAAGTTAAGCAAATGAAAAAATAAAATGCTTAGTGGACAAATTCATTTTTTAAAATCTTTTTTAATGGAATTGTATTTGAGATTTCTTTTTTTGTTATGAAATTTATACAATATTTGTAAATATGAATGTGTTGCATTCTTATTAAATAATTAAAAATTATTAATGAATAGCGTGTCATTTTTTATAACATCATCAAATCTATTGTTGTGACTCCAATTTTGCTTCAAATTTCATTTGATAAAACTTATGGGCCTATTTTCTATTTAGTGTAGATGTTTCATTTAATATTACTAAAAAAAAAAAAAAATTAACCATAATTGCATTAACCATAACTCTGGCTAAAAGCACTTTTTTTTCTATATTTTTTTTTTCTGGAGTTGGTATAGGGACCCAATTTGAATCTAAGATTATATAAAATTGATTCACTCATGATATCATATTCATATATAATAAATGTACATTTTTTTTTCTCACCAGCAGCACAACTCTTTCATGCACAATGCAATTGCCAGGTGCTGTTTGAAAACTGGTTGCTGCATAATTAAAATATTGATATTTATATTGTACTGTAATGATAGTGGAGCAGTCCATTTTATTTGTGAGAGAGAAAGGTGCATGCATGTATGTGTGTGTGTGTGTATATGTTTAGTATATATGTATAAGTAATTTAAGTTATTATTGTGCTCTGCTTTTTTTCACTTCCTGTCTTTGTAAACATGTTAAGATGGTCTGCCATAACACAGTTATTGCCAGCTGGTGTCACCACTGCAAGGGTTATAACTCCATTTATAATGATTATAATGGTTACAAGCATTACAAAACATTTTTAATACATTTTTTTTTTATAATGTTTTGATTTAGTAAATTTCTTTTTTTCTCGTATGTCAAAATCTCCCAAATGTTAATATTAAAATTTTGTTGATGAGAATCAAGCCTGACATAATCATGTATTTATGGCTACCTATATAAATTTTAACATTTTGTTTATATTTTACATGCTTTTGTGTGTGTAAAAATGATTGAAAATTTTTTTAAATTAAAAGAAAGTTCAAATATATAAACAATTTCATTCCAATTAAATTTAATTAATAGTCTTGATTCTCTCTATAAAATCACAAGCTTAGAATGTCCTCAGTTATTTTATATTTTACTACCAAATAATTTAGTTGTAGATTTTTTTTTTTTTTTTTTTTTTTAAATTTTAATGCTTTATCATGGCAAATTAATAATGAAAAATATGCTCTTATCCCTGTGAGAAATGTTTTATCAAATAACTCTCAATAAGAAAGATTACTTTCTAGATTTTTTATGATCTGTATTTAGCATTTGTGGAATAAAAGATTAGAATCAATTGTTAATAATGATTTCTAGAGTTATTTTTAATGTAACCTTTGAAGAAGAAAAGTTATAGATATATTTTAGTTTGAATTAGTGTGAAGTGGGGATGATCTGATAATTTCATGTATGCTAACGCCAAAAAAAAACAAAAAAAACTTCCTAAATTTGTGTGGAAACAAGGAATTATAATGGAAAATACTGAAAAATAGATTTACGGTGGTTGTAATTGAAACTATTAAAATATCATGAAGCTATTCTTGATTAAAGGGGACTATGGCCATATCATGTACAATGTCTGAAGTTAAGCAACATTGAGACTAAATGAGTGACCTTTTGGGAATATCAGGTGTTTTAAGCTTGGATTGTGGGTGGTGTAATGGATAATGGCTCTGAGTTGGAGATCAGAGAGTAGAGTTTCAATTCTATTATAGTCATTGTATTCACTTACACATGAATACTCTTAGGAAAGGCATAAATCCACTGCTTCTCCCACCAGCTATGGATTAACTAGTAGGAATTGTATCATTAACTCATTATCTCCAAAAAAGGGAAAGGTAGGAACCCACCTCTTCTCCCCACATCTATGGGTTAATTAGTAGGACTTGTATCAGTAAATCATTATTAAAAAAAAAAAAATCTTACAATCTAAGGATTTTTCTGGCTTTAAATAACATGCAAAAGGTTGATAAGCTGTAAAAAAATATCCATCAATCAAATCCTGATTAAAATGTTACAAGCTGTAAGGTTGGAAATAAGATTAATTTTAGTATATTAAAAATATTTTCAGTAATCACCAATGTTATTTTTGCTGTTGGGAGTTGGTTTGTATATATATATATATATATATATATATATATATATATATGTGTGTGTGTGTGTTCAAAAAGCTCTATTAAAATCAATCATAATAGCTTCATGCTATTGATTAAGAGCTTGACAGCATTATGTCACATGGCTTTCAGGCATGGAATAGGAGAATACCTTTTATAAGACAATATCATGTGACTGTTCTTAACCGATTTCTGACCCGATAAAAAAATAGCCTTTTGTTGACTATCTCTAGCAGACTATTAAACACTTTTTAATGCTAATCTGTCCTGTTATGCATTCTTATCCTTCTCTATTTCTCCCTATTCTTTCTCTCCCTCTATTCAATAAACACTGGTCCTTGCTATTGGTTTCATATTGAACCTTCTTTATATTATTCTTGCTTTGACCAATGCCACAACATATGCTGCTGCTGCTGCTAGGATTGCAACCATCAATTTTTAGCATCATGTTGTTGTGCTGTGCCAGTTTACCAAACCAATACTATTATCAGGACTACTTCCAATACCTGGCTTTTGTTAAGACTGCTAATACTCTTATACTGTGACTTCTATTAGTACTACCAATATTATGTTGTTACAATGGATAATGTGATTCTATTACTACAGCTACTAGTCGGATTCTCTCGAATACTACTGCTGCATATTTCATCTCCAGATCTGCAAAATGCAAATAACAACTTGACAACTATACACACATTTCTCTGTTTTCATATTTTTTCTCCCAAGTATGAACACTATGATGCTCCTCTTTATCAAATTGAAGATGAAAACATATAGCCATGGTTTTATTTTTATTTACTATCGCAACTATTAATATTGCTAATTCTCTTCTTCCTTCTCCTCCTGTTACTACTATTGTCACAGCTCCCACCACCATCATAACAGTTACCCTTAATGAGATCTATAATTCTGTTAACTGCCTCCACCTTAAGAATACCAAACAAGGTTACTACATTGCATTTCTGCAAACTGCAGCTATATTTGTTGAAATACTAAGTTGCAATTTGATTCTGGCCCTTGCTTGAAATGGAGTGTAAACAAGTGCATCTTTTCCATTCATTCTATTGATTGCTGTCTTGTGAGTTGCGAAGAGGCGATGGATATGCCAGTCTGTCTCACCATAGATCAGAAAATAAAAACAATTCCTTTTATTTGCAATTCTCTCTCTCTCGCTAATACATCTGTTTTATTTCTCGTTTTGGTTCCCCTCGTGAAAAAACAAACTACCAAGTGAATTTCACAGGTATATGTCTGGCCATGTGCTCTCGATGTTTTGTAGAAATCATTTTTTTTTTTTTTTATTTATTTATTTATTTTAATTCTGTTATTTTTAATGGCTTCTTCTACACAATTTGTTTTTTGGAATTTTGTATTTTCTTCTTAGCCTGGTTTACAGCTACATCACATTGAAACACCGGTTCCCATACAATCAATGAAGTTAAGCAATATCGAGCCTGGTCAGTATCTAGATAGGTGACTGCTTGGGAATGCCATGTGCGGTAATGTAACAGATAATAGCTTGGGATTGTTAATTAGAGAGCTAATTCCAACTGGGTTTGTTATATTCACTTATGTACAAATACCATTGGGAAAGGTATGAATCCACCTCTTCTCTCCCCAGCTATGAGTTAATTAGTAAAACATGTCTCACTAATACCGTTATTATCTTAAGAAAAAAATCATATAAAAATATTTAGATTTCAGCATTAAATAAAAGATAGAGGTTCATATGCTACTAAACAAAATCAACCAACCTTTTTAACCTAGACATAGAATATTGCTTAAGAGTCCACTGGTTATTAGTTCTTTGAAGAAATTTGGAGTGAGTCTTTAAATAGGTGAATGTTTCCTAATAAATATGTTATTTTTAATAGCAGTAGAACATCAGATATTTGGTTAGGATTTTCAAAGCAATAATAATTAGTGAAGGAGAGAATATAATGACATAATTATCTCTAAATCAGAATAGAAGAGAATTAATGAGCCTGTATCAATCTACTTGCCTGAGATTGATAGACTCTTTGTAAAGCGGGAAGGCAGGAAGACTGTTGATTTAATAATCAAAGGATTAACAAATTCCACAAGGGAGAGAATAATCATTACTGCCAAAATCTGGAACAGAGCTGATAAAAGTATCAAGAAACTGAAATAAACTAGAGCCCAATAATGAGAGAACTAAAATACATCATGGAAAATTTTGAAAGGAGTTAAAAGAAATGAAATGATGTGGGCATGGTTGTGCATTGGACACTTGAAAAGAAAAACTAAATCGAGAATAGCAACTGAGAACAAGTGTATTAGAATGAATTGCAAAAGCTAGATCAGATGCAATATAAGAAAATAGCAAACGTTGCTTGTAAAGACAAATTGTAATTTATAATGTGAATATAGTAAATTAGCTCAGAATGTCTACAGATATGACTGGGTAGGATTGGTGATCCACACGGAATTGTGCAAATCAATTGAATTCCCTCATGGATGATGGTTTGTTGGAATTTTCATATTCAAATGAATTGTTCTAACCAGTCTAGTTGACTAGTAAACAAAAATAATGAAAAAAAAAAAAAAAAGTTAGATAATGGATGTAGTCACTCAAGCATATGACAATGAAAACCTGGAAAAACTATCAAATCCTTTGTCAGAAAACTGCAAAAATTGTGGTATATCAAGATTAGTAGTATCTATAATTAAGAGTGCTTGGAAGAATGCTAACTCTTGCAAAAATAAATAAATAAAACTGGAAGAATTGTAATTTTTCAGATAAGACTGAAATTAGCGAAAATAGAGAGAACAGTGAAATTTTTTTTTTTTTTTAATTTGCCACTTGATTCTAATGGGAATCAGCAGATGCTCTTAGTGAGAAAATTCAATGTATGTGTGGGAGTGCGAGTGAGAGAGATAAAACTGTTGTTGAAAGAATGTTGATGATTCTTGGTTGAAAATGCCCCCCTTTTTCTTTTTTTTTAATCTCACAATTGTTTGTTTTAATAATAATAATAAAAAAAAAAAACATTTTCAGGTTGGGCAAAAATGCAAGTATGACTTACCCTCTCTTCAAGTAAGTTCTATAAATAAATATGCTAGTTAATTAAAAAAAAAAAAAAAAAAATTCAAATATTATAAAGTGATTGCCTTGGATTATCCATTTATAAGATACTATAAATTGTTGGTAAAGAAATTTTGATAAGTTGTACCATAAAGAGAATTTACATTTCAGGAAATGTCACTAACTACAGTATGGTTAGCCTCTTGTTTCCCAATTTGCCTGTCTACCAGGGTAGTTAACCAATCCCTGTTGCAGATGCTTGCTCAAGCACATTTATGTTTCTTCAATACCTATAGAGCCAATCTATGGTTTATACTGTAGCTATGCTGAGTGGACCTTCCTGGGAGTATGTACATAATTCGGCATAATTACTAGTTTGGACAAGGCCAGTATGCTCAAACCCTCAGTCATGATGACTAGTAACCTCATGTTAGCACAAATATCAACGGCTTATGAATAGTTTTGTTTTAACCTAATTTTTCTCACAAGGCTTGGGTTAACCAGTGGTATGGTTTTCAGGCACTTTCCAATGGTGCTACATGCTGGGATCATCATCTCCTCAGTCTGATATTATCAAGATGTCATCTTAACAAATAGAGCATGGGGAAATTTCAAACCCAGCTCTTGTAGATGAATGTTCAACATACTAACTGCTTGGTTATGTACCCACTAAATACATTACATGCACTGTCAAAGGCAAATCAATTATTATTAATACAAATTCTGAAGGTTGCTGAGTTCCAACTTCAATGGATGCTGTACCTGTGCAAAAGAAGCTGATCAGTGAGCAGTTTAAATTAGGGTTAGTGAAATTTTTAAAATTATAAAATATAAATTTTTGTGTTTGTATCCATTTCATGTTCGGTATTTCTCTACCTCTTGCTTTGCTGATGACAAGATGATCAAATTTCAGATCTAAATTGTTTGTCCATTTAAAATACTACATTTATTAGAAAATATATTCAGTTTAAATACAAGAGTTATATCTTCAAAGGGTAGGCTTATACTTATTGTGTGTTACTCAGGGTTTGTTGCCAGACAAATTAACACTTATAGCACATATGCCCATTACAATCTCATTCAGATTTTGTGCATATATAATGTATATTTTAATTCAGTGACAGCTCTAAAATATTTCTACAAAATTTAAAAAAAAAAGACATTAAAATTAATTTCATTACCAAATAATTTCCAAATAATTTTTAAAAATATCATTTTTTTTTTTTCTTTTTGTCTACAACTTTGATTTTATTCCACAGGCTTATTTTTTGTGTGTGTGTGCGTGCGCATGCGTGCTTGTGTATTAAATAGTACAAACACATGTAAGTATCTGATGAACAACATATGTATATGGAAAGTAACACCCAGACAATGTGTGATATACAGAGAGTGATATCACTTTTTTATAATATAGATCTTCCCCTGCAAACACCAGTGATTTCCTAAATCTTGCTAATTCTTTCAAAAGCTGAAAATTGATGGCAATATTTTGAATTAAAATATTTTGTAGTTGTGCCTGGTGACAACCACCTAATTTTGCCAGAAATCAGTTAAGTCAGACATTGCTAGTATTATAAAAAGAAAATAATCAAAACCAAATATAGCTGGATAAAGAGAGACTGTCTTTGTTTTTTCTTATCATTGTTAATTTTATATAAAAATTTTATGGATAGTTTTAGTAGCATATCAACTCCTTATGGGTCATTTAATGCCAAAATTTTATTAGGAGCATTAGTAATTTCTTTTATAAAAATGTATTGCTGCTAATATTTTTTTATTTTTTACATAAATGTATTGCTGCTAATTTTTTTACTATGAAAATGTGTGGCTGGTATTTTTACTATAAAAATGTATTTTTATACTTTCATAGTGTTCTGACCCCAATTTGGGTAGGAGGTTAACTATTTGCCCATAGTTGGGATCCTAACAGATACTACCACCCTGAGTCAGGGTGGACCTAGAACAACAGTAATTGAGAAGTGGTTCCACACTTCTCAAAACCTCCCGATCAGAGGTCTTGCTGCCGAATGTGGTTTGTCATATACAGGATGCTCTTATCGACAAAATGATAGTGTAGCTGTATAACAGTTTGGTACAAAGCTGCAATATTGGAGTACCTAGTGAGGATTGAACTTTGTTATACTAACAGTTATCTTCACAAGTCTGTGAGATGATAGTGTAATCTTTTTTTATGTGCCATGTCCCTTCAGGATGTGGATAGTCATGTCTCTCCATGGCTTCCTATCTCTTATATAGCACTAAGCAGTATTTCAATCCCTTACAATCCCTGCTTCTTCATGTTCCGCTATCCATTTACAGAAACTGGTTAGGTATTTTAATTGCAGCTTTCCTTCTTGCCTTAAATATATACTGTGAGTGTTAAATTCTTCAAGCCTTCTTTCCTTATTATACATCTCAGAAGTTTCAACTCTTTCTTGTTCTAAGCAAAAGTCTCATTTTCATTCTGGTTTTTCTAAAAACTTTGTTGCTCTCATGTTTTGTCTAGTCTCAGTATAATCATGTCTCCATTGCCTCAAGTCTCTTCTACATATGCTATGTTCAGCATTTACTGCTATATATGGAGGATTAATATTGTATAACAGTTGAACACTCTTATCTTTTGTTTCTGGTTTTTTATTTTTTTTGAATATACACACAAATCTAATCCCAAGATTTATATAGTATATCACTCTTATTATAATTTAAAAAACAAAACAAAACAAAAAAAAGCTTAATACAGAGCTTTAAATTCTATTTTAGAACCTTTATAATATTCCATTTCAGAGAGAACATGTGTATACATTGTCCTGGTAAAATTAGTCTGTGTTAGAAGTTTCATATTTCTAGGAAGTACTGTATTATAAATAGCTATTTACAATGGCAGTGGATGTTATTGATTTACAGTTACTAAATACTAACATTCACAACAGCTAATACCAAGTGCAGTATCTTATTATCATTGTCATTAATATTACATAGGCCTAAGGGATGTTCAAAAGGAAACTGCAATTGATACAGGGAGCACAATAACACTGTTGAATAGAGCATGTTTTCAGTTATGAAATACTATATTGTCAGGGAAATCTACAGTTCATCTTTCATTGGTTTGAACTGATCAAAATGAGGCAAATCTGCATTCTATGGTGGGCATAGTAGAACAGTCTTTGCAACATGCTCTATGGTGTGAGGCTTGGTGTTATGTTGCAAGTAAAAAGCTGTTTTCTCAGGTCAGAATCCAGAAAATTGAACCTTCTGCTTTGTCAACATTATGATTTAATGGTCAGAGTTGATAGTTTATCCAGGTTCCAGGAAATCCAGGAAGATCACCCCAAAAGATGGTACACTGATGATTGTAGCTTAAGCTTTTTCTTTAATGATGAATTCACATGTTACTGCTTTATGGACTATCATTTTCCTTTTAGCACCTCATGGTGACATCTTGTGTTATCCACAGTG